GATGATTGGCTCCGCGTGGAGGAAGGCTCGTTCAAGGGCTTGAACATCATAGTAGTAGATCATCGCTGTCGGTAGGATCTGCTCCAGAAAGATCGTGCTCGAAGGGTGCATGACTCCGAGTGCAGCACACGACGCGATGGTGTGCAGTAGACCGGCGTCGAGGGCCTCCCCCATGTACCTATATCCCCGCGAATCCCCGAGTATGCGAATCAAGAGGGTGGAACACGATTTGAGGAGCGTTTCGGAGCCCTGCATGGTGTTTTGGTGAATCAGACAGTACGCCATGATGTTGAGTGCCCTTGTGATGCCCAATGGGAGCATGGATGCGCAGAACGCGCCAAGACTTTCTCGGTAATGAGACGGAGGTGTGCGGCCCTCGATCAAATCGTCCAAGGTCGTTACCCAGTCGACAAGATCGAAGAGGAGATACAGCTCGTTGGGTGTCATGAAGTCAGTGTGGCTAGGGAGCACGGCCTCCATGTACGAGACGACAAGCGATGCCAGGTCTGCAAGAGTACCTCCAGCACCCTGTATCATCTCCTGGATAGCCGCTTTTGTAGTGCTGTCTTTGTTTCGGAACAGCAGGTACGGGAGGGCAGGATAACAGACAGCTAGATCGAGATCTGGATCCTGAAGACGAAAAAACCATGCCCTGGTGATGATATGCACCATGTAGGGGGTCATTTGGATTGTTTCATCGGAGAAGGGAATTCCAGCAATGAAAACGAAGAGTGAGAGGCAGATTTCGCTCTCGACGCCATCAGCTTCTCCGAGTTCTTGCGCGAAGATGTTCTCGCGGTTGACGTGAAAAAAACACACCCACTTCCACATATTAGGCCAAAGGTCGAGGAACGCTTCGACAGGAACGGACAGGGCGTAGATCGAGCACAAGGAAACCCAGGCACTGCGTATGGCGACGTTGCTCCTATCAGCGATGCTTGCTGGTGGAGGCATCTTTCGCGCATCAAGATGGATGTAGAAGACGGCCAACAAAGGCAGGAAGTGAGTGCCTTCCGAGTTCTCGATCATCGACTGGAGCTTCTTGAGATCGTCAAGCGAGCCACGGGCTGCTGAAGTGGCTATTCTCTTCGGCGCCGGAATTCAGTCAGTCGTGGACCTGAGGGAAGTCGGGAGAGCGGTTCACCTGAGTCGAGGCTGGCAAGACGGAGAGTCCAGCCAGGCGGAGACTTGGATGCATTCGTGCGGGAACTTGCATGTTGCACGAAGAGGTTCCACGACACGTGGCTTCTAAAACGTCACTCACGCACTCGTGACCAAAAGCGCGACGGTGATCAGCAAACATGAACAAAGCAGTTGGCCATCAATGACAAGCGCCACACCGAACGTCGCCAAGGGGATGCAGCCAACCTCTAGCGGCACCCTCATTGCCGGGGACGAGACGCTGGTCGCTGCCAAGTGGGTGTGTTTGTCCATTTGTCTCGTTGCTCGTTGCCAAGGCTACTTACCATTCGCTCTTCGTTTCGTCATTGAGTCATTCGTAACTTTAAGCTTTAAGTTTCGTCCTAGGACAGTTGGGCAAGTACATCTGCCCAATGAGTCTACAGATTTTCAATGTGATTCCAACGCACCTACTCCCAAGGCAATCTAATCAAAATTAAGGTCAGGGCAGCTGTTCTGCCGAAAATTCGCAAAAACAGAAGAAAAAATGTGACCGCCCTAAGTTCCGAAAAAGGCTGCAATGAACCAATCTTTATCCCAAATTAATAAGAATTGCCGGCACTATAGCTAGAGGTGCCATTTGGGGGGAAAAACTGATCGCCCCACTGGTTGTTTGTCAATATTCCCGCTACCGATTAGGTACGGGTCTTAGAGTGCATGATTTTTAGAAATTGGCGGAAGATCACATAAATGTCATTTCAGCTTGCGTCATCGTCATATTTGCTATTGAAATGCTGTCACGGCAACCTTCGGCGTTGCGCCGCAGCCGTTGCCGTTCGGATGTTTGTTGTTTCATGTGTCATTTCAGCTGATTCATCGGACCCATCTATCAACTAGTATACAAACTGAATGCCACGCTGTCGAAAAACAGGACAATGTTCTGCGTGTGCGCTCAGCCGACGACTCTCTTGTGCCCGGTCGAAGCCTGAGATAAAGTGGTAGGGCCGACAAGCGGCAAAAGGAACCAACTCTGTCAGCTGCCAGAAAGGGGCTCAATGATAATATTGTAAGGCGCGAGTCTGGGCAGCATCAATAATGTGAATTTATCAGGTTTGAGAAGGACTCCAGATCATGGCTGATCGATGATCTTTGACTGGTTTTAGTAGTCTACTTAGTACTACTAGTAGGCCATTGTGTCGACGAGTCATCTAAGTGCCACCATTATACACCAATTGTATCACCCTCTCGACAAAATTAAGCCGCTGTCATGGTTATATTGCACGGCAGACACACGGCAGACAAGAGCTTTAGCTAGCATGCCGAAAGTATTTAGTTTCGGCATATGTCCAGCTGTTCTCGCGGCGCTGCACCAGCCGCGGTCCATCCTCCAGTTCCGCTTGCGTCGCATATGGAGGAGGCTGAGGCTGAGGGATCCGGTGCGCGGTGGTAACGAAAGGGCCGCTGTGCCCGTGCCGCTCCTCGTGCGTCGTCGGCGCTGGCACGCCGAGTGTCGCGAATGCGGTAGAGTCGGGGCGCGCCGCTGGGATTGGCGCACGCGAGCCTGCGTCGAGTACATGCGAGAATGCGCGTGGCGGGCCCGATGCAGGCGACTGCTGGACAGGGTGCACGTGCGGGGGCGACGGCACGGATTCGTCGCGTGGTGACGGCGGACTCCGGAGCTGTGGGCGTGGGGTCCGGCATCATGTCGATGAATGCCTCGGCGCGGAAACTCGGGCGCCTCTTCTGGGCGGGCCGAGCAGGTACGGCCACAGGTGCGTCGCCCTGCTCCAGCGCGGCCTCTGGCTCGGCCACGGTGCGCGTGCTGGGGCGCCGCCGGCGCGTCGCACGCGCGGGCGGGGCGGTGGCGACGAGCGCGGGAGGGATGCGATCGCCGAGCGCGCGCGTGACCTTTGCGAGGCGCAGACAGTGCGCGCACGGGCTGTTCGCCTCGGCCTCGGACTCGGAGAGCGGGGACGGGGGCGTCGGACCGAAGCCCGGGAAAACCGGCAAGAGCGGCGGTTCGAAGATGTCAGCTTCAGACAGACAGCGTTAATTCTATAAGGGTGATGCCGAGCTGCTCAGTGATAGCTGGTTCATTATCTTCCGAAGCCCTTATCACCATTTCGCTCATTTGCGCCGCCTTATCACTGCCATGTTACCGTGCTGCCTAATCTGTGCCGATTTTCATATTTACCTTACACACATATGAGATATATTTAACGCCTGTCCAGGCCCGCCATCCAGTCATGCTCTTCCGAGGGACATGCAGTGCCACAACTTACAAGTTTACTAACATCATTTCAACAAGCGCAGCACAAGGCGGCACACATAAGCCCGAGCCGGCAAGACGGAATATGTGTACTTATTTAATAGTGAAGTAGACTTAGTGGAGCTGGCGTTCACTGGCATGTACAAATCTGCAATTGGTGGTTTCGTAGACCCTTTATTTCGATGGTGTTCTAATTGAACCTGAAAATGGGCTCTACTCTGGCTCTCAGGAGACGGCTGAGACTGCATCCATCATAGAATGTGTTGCCTGCCGAGCAACTGCCGAGTATGGAGTGTGCCATCTGCTGAGTACAAAATTCAAGTAATACCCGTCCTAAAATTGAAACCAATACCCATGTCCCGTTCACAGCGAAGCGCCGGCAATGGCATGCGGGACAGCCAACCCCAGCTGGCATGACCAGTCAGTTTGAGGTCACTGTTGCCAGTGGGATGTTGCCATTACATGCCCAAGGGCCCCTCTTTCATCCCTCCCAGACCAGGAGTCTGGGACATTCTATGGACAGCGAGACGCTGTGCCTATGCAGTATGCAGCAGGATTAATGTGACGAGACCGGCGCCTAAGCTTACATCAAGCCATCCGAGTACGGCGCGAAGTTCACTGAGGGCACCTCTCTGAATGATGGTGACCCTCTCATGAGCACTCGTCACCTACGTTCTGGATGTTCACCAAAAAAATGGTGCTTATTGCAATTTTGAAAACTGTGCTTCTTGCTAACAGATCCACCAAGTCCACGTTGAGAAACTGCCGATAATCGACCGCGGTGATGGTAAGCCGTGGGTGCATCGTCCTCCCAAGACGTCACTCAACTTGCCTCTCCGTTACAGCTGTTGGCAAAATCGTAGGCCAGGCCAAAATTTTCGGCAAGGTCCTTCTACTCCACTCCGCACAGCATGTAGCCCCACCACCCACCACTGGCACCCAGATGACGTATATAAGTCTTGCCGATGTCCATCATTGTTGGAGCTCAGACTCTTAAGAATTTTTTAGCCATCCTACGATTTTGCCAACAGCTGTAAAGCGTCGTCGTCGCGACGACTCCGATGATGCCGATTTTGACAACCTGCCCAGCTTCTCCCCAAGCCCAGCAAAGAAATCTCACGAACGAAAATAAGCCAATTTGGAGAAACAAGTTCGGCACAATTTTTTTAACACAACACGTATCCTTTTCAAGTTGACATATTAGTATATACTTATTTCAGTAAAAATTTGACTTCATGCTATAACACTCCTTATTGGTAGCGGGCTGTGCCGCTTGCCGGCCCTACGGCTTTATTTTGATAGCGGCTGGGCAAAAAAAAGAAAAGAGTGCTATTGACATTCTACAGGTTCCTTGATTGTTGCTGTTCTCCTGAAACTTTCTCGCGACAATCTTCCGGCTACAGACGGCCCGGAATCATCGGAGAGGCCCGGGACCGCTAGCCGAACCTCAACGTTAACGCTCACCATCAATCAGCAGTGAAATTGAACCTCAACCGTCTGGCCTACCGTACTAGTAGTCTCACATAGTCAGATTTGATAGAAATTTATGGCAGTCGCTTCAAGCCGTCAGCTTCTGGGAGTACCTGTAGCCACGATGACAACCTCCAAGCAAGGCAGCATGGGGTAAGATCTCACGCTGGGTAGCATTGGAGCCGAGCAATACAGCGCAGTAACCCAGAGGTCCTCGTTCGAATCGAGGTGCTGCCTTGGACACGAGCTATCGACAGTTTTGCTCCGAGGTCAAGTCCTTTGTCAAGCACTGGCCGCCTCTCGCCGTCATAACCGAGACTCGGTGCTTGGACTCAGCCTGCTGGTGACGGTGTCATGCTCCCACCGGTTTTCCACATGTGCAAGTCAACACCTCCCACGCGCCGCTGTTAAAGCCAGTACATGGTGTATCAGCACTTCAACTGTTGGTCACAGAGCCTAAGCAAGGCGGCGTGGTGTACCCTGTACACTGGGTGCTACTAGCAATGCTAATGCGCATTAGTCTAAAGGTCCTCGTTCGACTCGAGATGCTGTCTATGCTTACGCTGCCCTGAGCCAAATTTTATTCTGCTTCTAATTGAGGCTTTTTTTTTTCAAACCTTGAGGTTGCCAAGTTCCCCACTGGACAGCTTGCAGATGAAGAGAAGAAATTTCACTGAACGCAATGTTGACATGCCAGTGCGGCCGCGTCTCGCATCACAGGAACCAACTCTCAGCTTCTTGCGCCGGGAAATCAATATCTGCAACGCGCGGCCGCGATCTCTGCTGGCGGACCTTGGACTGAGTACTAGTGTCTATCGTCCCATGAAGGGCGCAATGTACACACGTCGCCTCAGACTGACGAAACACGTTTTCGGTGTCGAAGATGGAGTTATTGCAGCGGAACTTGAATATGTGTAACAATGTTCATCTCACACAGTCAGATTTAATAGAAGAAATTTATGACAGTCGGTAAATTTATTGTATGAAGCCCGTGCTGTTGCTCGAATGGAAGGCATACACTGACACACCCCGTGAGCGACGAGCACGCGAAATGGTTGGGAAACAGAAGAAAAAAACACAAAACGGACAGAAAAGATTTGCTTGCGCACCACCTAGTACCTAAATCCAACTTGAACTTAACAGCATCTAGCGCCGCCAAATTTCATTTCAGCTTCTGCCAATGGGAGTACCTGTAGCCACGATGACAACCTCCAAGCAAGGCAGCATGGGGTAAGATCTCACGCTGGGTAGCATTGGAGCCGAGCAATACAGCGCAGTCACCCGGAGGTCTCGTTCGAATCGAGGTGCTGCCTTGGGTCGAGAGCCAATAGCCGTTTTGCTCCGAGTTCAAGCCCTTTGTCGAGCACTGCTCTCGCCGTCGTAACCGACACTCAGCGCTTGGACTCAGCCTGCTGACGACGGTGTCAGGCTCCAGGTTTTGCACATGTGTAACACCGCCAACGCGTCGCCTTGCTGTTAAACCCAGTACCTGGTGTATCAGCACTTCAACTGTTGGTCACAGACCCTAATTAAATCAAGGCGGCGCGGTGTACCCTGTACACTGGGTGCTACTAGCATTGATCAGCTAAGCATCAGTTTAAAGGTCCTCGTTCGAGTCGAGGTGCTGCCTTGAGGATAAATTGACGCGTCTTTTTTTATTCTGCTCCAAGTTTATGGAAGCGCTTTTTCAAACCTTGACGGTGCCAGGTTCTCTACTGCACAGTGTAAGTAGTTCCTTTCAAAAAATTATTCTGCTTCCAATTAAGGCTCTTATGAGGTTGCCAAGTTCTCCACTGGACAGCTCGCAGTCCTAACAGCATCTAGCGCCGCCAAATTTCATTTTAGCTTCTGCCAGTGGGAGTACCTGTAGCCACGATGTCAATCTCCAAGCAAGGCAGCATGGGGTAAGATCTCACGCTGGGTAGCATTGGAGCCGAGCAATACAGCGCAGTAACCCGGAGGTCCTCGTTCGAATTGAGGTGCTGCCTTAGTCGAGAGCCAATAGTTTTGCTCCGAGTTCAAGCCCTTTAGCACTGCTCTCGCCGTCGTAATTGACACTCAGCGCTTGGACTCAGCCTGCTGGCGACGGTGTCAGGCTTCAGGTTTTGCACATGTGTAACACCGCCCACGCGTCGCCTTGCTGTTAAACCCAGTACCTGGTGTATCAGCACTTCAACTGTTAGTCACAGACCCTAATCAAGGCAGCGCGGTGCACCCTGTACACTGGGTGCTACTAGCATTGATCAGCTAAGCATCAGTTTAAAGGTCCTCGTTCGAGTCGAGGTGCTGCCTTTAGGGTGAATTGACATGTCTTTTTTTATTCTGCTCCAAGTTTAAGCGCTTTTTAAAACCTTGACGGTGCCAGGTTCTCCACTGCACAGTGTAGTTCCTTTCAAAGATTTATTCTGCTTCCAATTAAGGTTCTTATGAGGTTGCCAGGACAGCTCGCAGTCCAGTGACTGTCAGATTCGAACTCCTTGTTCAAACCAGAATAGAATGGCTTCCGCGTAGTGCTTGACACCCTGGTCGACGTTTCGAGTCTCAGTGTCACCTGGGCTGGCATCTGGCGCCTCAGTCAGGCTTCGCGAGTCCGAGTCCGAAGTCCACTGGCACTTCAGCAACGCTGGCTATTCAACAACCCCATGTTGGAGCTGCTTCATTTGGGGAGCCTATACAGAAAAATATTGTTGTGGATAAATTATTTATTTAGCCCAATTCCGACAGGTGTTGACGGCAATGAAGCGTGGATATGCGGACAAAGGGAGCGAACTCATGTGGACGTAGTAGACGTAGAGGGTCATCGACGGAGCAAACGTGCTAGAACAACCCAGTTGTCTACAGTTCCTGATTCCCAGTATATTCATACTTCCTGTAGAATACTGTAACTATTTGATTTTTCCTAGGCCAGTGAGACCTCCGGTATGGTTCCCGTGCAATAACTAAGCGATAGAGGCAACAGGGGATGAACGGCGTAAAGTGTACACTGTACACCAAGGGGGTTACCAAAATATCAGAAAATGATCCGCTATAATTTTGGGCTTCAATTCCCGCAATATTTCAGCAGTGCTTTCTTCCTAGGACAATAGTTTCCCTTATCCGGTGTGTTTCAGCTAGTTTCAAAACAACAACTTTCTTTATCATTGGAATTGGTTCCTGAGAGTTCATCTCTTGTCTCTTGCTGAAGAAATGTGTACTTTCGGAAAGCGTGTTTGATTATCTCTCTTTCGGGGTCGGTTTCAAGTCAAATCAATACATCGAATACTTATCTTAAATTTTTTTTCCGGCTTCTAATTCATCTAAGTACTTTAGGCTAACCTTCCGACCTAGGTTAATATTTTGCTCTAAACGGAACCTTCAAGTTCACGTGGCTATTTATGTAATCTCCACGTGTCGTGCCTGCCATCAATGACAAGCGCCACACCTTGGCCACACCGAACGTCGCCAAGGGGATACAGCCAACCTCTTGTTAGGGATGGGCACCGTAACCGTACAATACGGTTTACGGTTACGGGTTTACGGTACACCCGTACCGTACCGTACACCCTTTGGAAGGACAGCTGTACGGTACGGGTGTGTACGGGTGTTTTTTGATCTCGCTTGGGGACTGTGCTGAGCGTAATTCAAGCATTGAGGGGAGCACCACTAGGTCATAAATGCCAAAATCCATCGTTGGGAACCCACCAGCCCAACAATTGAACCGTTACAAACCTCCGGTATACGGCTTTACGGACCGTATAGACCCGTCCTGTATGGCCTCAGAAACGCGACCCGTACGAGCCGTATTTGTACGGCCCGTAACCGTATACGGTACGGTGCCCATCCCTACCTCTTGTCTAGCGCCAAAGACGGCACCCTCGTTGCCGGGGACGAGACGCTGGTCGCTGCTATGTGGGGTGTGACGAGCATTTGTCCATATTTGTCTCGTTGCCAAGGCTACTTACCATTCGCTCTTCGTTTCGTCATTGAGTCGTTCGTAACTTTATGTAAGCTTTAAGTTTCGTCCTAGGACACGTTCCAGTTGGGCAAGTACATCCGCCCAAAGAGTCTACAGATTTTCAATGTGATTCCAATGCACCCACTCCCTTGAAGGCAATCTAATCAAAATTATTCAAGCTCAGGGCAGCTGTTCTGCCCATTTTTGGGGAAAAACTGACCCCACTGGTTGTTTGTCAATATTGATAGCGGCTGGGCAAAAAAGAGTGCATTATATTGACATTCTACAGCTCCCTTGATTGTTGCTACAGTATCCTCCTGAGACTTTCTCGCGAGAATCTTCCGGCTACGGATGGCCCGGAATCATCGGAGAGGCCCGGGACCGCTAGGCGAACCTCAACGCTCACCATCCGAGTCAATCAGCCATCTGTCAAGTGAAATTGAACCTCTGATCAACCGTCTCGCCTACCGTACTAGTAGTCTCACATAGTCAAAATTTATGGCAGTCGCTTCAAGCCGTCAGCTTCTGGGAGTACCTGTAGCCACGATGACAACCTCCAAGCAAGGCAGCATGGGGTAAGATCTCACGCTGGGTAGCATTGGAGCCGGGCAATACAGCGCAGTAACCCTGGACCCAGAGTAATGTTGCCGCGACTCGAGTCGATGCAAATTCGACTCAACTCAAATTACGCCATGCTATTGAGACACAGGTCAAATCCGAACCCAACACCTCATAAATTAAGTATTGGGGTATTACACACCCAAATCTTGGGCCGAACCAACTTCTGGTTGTGGAGAAATTCCTCAAATACATCAAAAATTTGATCGACTTGAGTCGCGACTCAAGTCGACAATTCTTTTGATGTATTTTAAGCTTTTCTCCACAACCGTGAAGTGGATAGCCCTGTGCTTTGGATATGTCATTCCTCTATATAAAATGTGTATTTCAAGGTACAACACTCGGTATTATGTAAGCAGGCTCAGGCTTAATTCGAGCCGAGTCGATTACGTGTCGACTCGAGTTGCGGCAACATTAACCCAGAGGTCCTCGTTCGAATCGAGGTGCTGCCTTGGTCATGAGTTACCACCGAGGTCAAGTCCTTTGTCAAGCACTGCTCTCACCGTCATAACCGAGACTCAGTGCTTGGACTCAGCCTGCTGGCGACGGTGTCATGCTCCCGGTTTTCCACATGTGCAAGTCAACACCTCCCACGCGCCGCTGTTAAAGCCAGTACATGGTGTATCAGCACTTCAACTGTTCGCCACAGAGCCTAAGCAAGGCGGCGTGGTGTACCCTGTACACT